CCTCTCAAGTGGTTACCAATAAAAATTGTGTATGTGCACCCTATAAACACAAACCTTACATATGTATACCTGGTGAGTAACATGGCCCTACACCAGGGTTCAGCTGGAATGAATGAATTTTATGGAAAGATATGTGAAATTTATATTACTAAAGTTCCATACATGCATTTATTTGCCTATCCCTACTTTGAGACATAAAAATAATACTTGTTACAACTTTAGTAAGTGCCTGTCAGGTGGCAAGCATTCCTCATGAGTTATCATCTCATTATAACTCATTACAACTCATAATAACTATGAAGCAGATATTATTAGTGGGATTTTATAGATGAGAAAACTGAAGCTTTGAGAGGTGGCATCATTTTCCATAGCTCACAACCCTTCTAAGTAGAGGAGCCTAGATTTCAGTTCAGGTCTGATTTCAAAGCTTGGGCTCTTTCTATCATAAAACATTAATTTGAAACAACAATTTTAAGAAACAGTCCACTATTCAATGTATTTTATGTCTAGATATACAAAGCATCTTATGCATTAATGTACTAGGTCTCACAATAGAAATAAAAGAATATCTTTTTTATTAACTCAATATGGATTTCTTTCTTTTATATTTGCATTATAGAGAATTTTAAACATGTAAAAAAGTACACAAAACAGTGTAATAAACTCCCATTATAGATCATCCAGCTTCAACAAGTGTCAATTTATAGTTGATCTTGTTTCCTCTATACCCCACCCTGTTTCTTTCTCCCCTCCCATATTACTGGTCAGCCATTATATCACTTTATCTTTAAATATCACAGCATAGCTATCTCTAAAATAAGAAATCTTTTTTAAAAAAACCTAACCATTAATACCATTGCCATACATTAAAAAAATTAACAGTATTTTCTTGTTCTTTTTTTTTTTGTTTTTTTGAGACAGGGTCTCATTCTGTCACCCAAGGCCAGAGTGCCTTGGCATCATAGCTCACTGCAGCCTTGAATTCCTGAGCTTAACCATCCTCCTGCGTCAGCCTCCCAGGTAGCTAGGACCATAGGCATGTGCCACCATGCTGGCTAATTTTGTTTTTGTTTTTGGTAGAGACAGAGTTCCACTATTTTGTCCAGACTGATCTTGCACTTCTGGCCTCAAATGATCCTCTTGCTTCTACCCCCCAAAGTGCTGGGATTACAGGTGTGAGCCACTACACTCACCTTAAATCTCTTTTAATTTACAGGTAATGTGGGTTTATATTAACATTGTCTTTATTCACTTTGCATAATTTGCTTTTGCCAAGCTATATTTTTAGGCATTAATTTACTTTGCCATTTCAAAATGTGATTTATAAGATTCAAAAAGTGGAATTTTTTTCATATTGAAATATACTAGATAGTTTCTCAGAAAACCTCTATATCATCCATACATAAATTCAAAGAATCTTTAAGCTGGCAAGAGATTTCATTGGCCTACGTTTACCACTATCACAGATGTAATGTGAGTGACCATGGGACCAAAAAAAAGATCTTATTATTTATAATATTTCCATGGTCTTTCCTAGATTTTTATTTAAATATTTTATCATTTTTTTTAGACTCTGAGCCTATGGTGGGAAATTCTAATATTCAAGATGTTTTTTATAACAATAAATTTTGAATTATAAATATGCCTTATAATCAAAATTTTTATTTATTAATATTAAACTAAAAACTGTTAATAATTAACTCATTTTATAAAAAGGGGAAACTGAAGTAAAATGAAAAAAATCAGTTTGTTCAATGACTTAAAATGATATTGTCATCACATCTAAAGGCAAAATTGATAGCATTGTTTAGACAGCTGATCAATATCACCTTTTAGATATTGATTACTGAAATGATAAAAGTTCCATGACAGAAATTCCAATGGCTTTTCTTTGTAACTTTAAGTGAAAAATTAAGTAGGAAAAAAGTTTTTAAAGCAAGCAGGTCATGAGTTATCAAAGCAATCTTATATCTTATTATAAGGTAAAAATAAAAAGACTTTTTCATGTTCTCCAGTTATATTTAAACTCATTACAAGAGTCCTTCCATTTATGTCTCCTCTACATTGAAGTAACATATTTTTTGGATCATGCTTTATTTTCCCTGTTTCCCTTTTCTAAAAAATGAGCATCATTTAGGAAGTTGATGGTGGATCAGTAAGAAAATTTGGGGGGAAATGTGAGGGAAAAACTTATTAACATATCATTATTACAAACAGAAACTACATCTTCTTACTGTTTACTATGCCCAGGCACTGTACTAGATGCTTACACATCTTACTACTAATCTTCAATAACCCTTCACTGACACAGTAAAATATGGCAATGAAGGGTATGGGCTCTAGAACTCTGAAAGAGTATGGGCTCTGGAATGGGTATGGGGTGATGAAAATGTTCTGAAATTATATAGTGGTGATGGGTACACAACTCATACTATGCTATACTATACAATACAATACTGCACTACACTACATTTACTATACTATGCTAACAACCACTAATGTGCACTTTAAAAGGGTGACTTTTATGGTGTGTGAATTATATCTTGATACAACCATTATTTTTTAAAATGTGTGCAAATAAAAGGACTTTTAATAAGGGATCTTTTATAATTTTTTTTTTGAGACAGAGTCTCACTCTGTCACCCCAGGTACAGTACAGGGGTGTTATTGTAGCTCACTAACATCAAACTCCTGGGCTCAAGCAATCCTCTTGCCTCAACCTCCCAGAGTGCTAGGATTACAGACGGGAGCCACTGCACCCAGCCGATCTTTTATAATTTAAGACTATTTTCCTTCCAGGAATGAGACCTGGTTTAGTACAAATATCCTGAAGAACGCAGAGTGTATTCAGCCAAATGCTGAATTAAATTAATAAAATTCATCCCACCATCTTCCTGAACAGAATGTCTTGCCACACATAAAAATGCTAGAAAAAGCTTGGGGCCAGCATTACTTTCTTTTCTCCACCCCAACACTACCTAGGTTCTCCAGGGATTTTAAATTTTTTCTGCCAGTTTTCTCTTTCTTACATATTCCTATTCTTTTCATAATCTTAAATTGTCCTGCCATACCTTATATAGACCAGTTACTGCTCTCATCACCACACCAGTTTCTGAAGCATACAATCAACTATGGTTTGATCAAAAGGGCAAAGTAAAATACATCCCTCCCTCCCACTCCCACCAAAAAGTGTCTGTATGAGGAGGAGCAAGACTGGGGGCAAGAGTATGAATTTTTCCACTTCATCTTTCCTTACATTTACTTCCAAATGAGCAAATATTTTGCCATACATATTCAATCATTGTTGAGAAGCAAATATAGTTTTCTGTTCTAAATAAATGATCTTCAATTGTCCCCCTGGCTGCTCTGCCTCTGCCCTCTCTCTGAGAGAGAAAGGGTGTGTAAAAGTTGGCTTGTATCAGAAGATGACTGCAATGCCATTATCACATGAGTCTAGGAAAATGTGCCCTTTGTCTTTTTAGTCCTATATAGTCTCTTATGTTAAGCTGTAAAATTATTTCCTCTTCTCATCACATTACTGTACCACATCTCTGACACCAATTCTTTATTTTTCCTTTTAAGTAATTAATTCTACCCTCACAGTTGCATTCATTTCTGCCAGTTCACAATCATGTTCTTCCCCCTGTGGATTTTGGTTAACATCTGTTAAACCCTGAACTATAGGGCCATTCCCTGAATAGTGCATTTTGCATTTTGCAAAGCAAACTGTTACATTCTTACATGTAATTCTCTACTGCTCAATCTATGTTTCCAGATATATATGCTTTATTTAGGACAGTGAGATACATAGTAACACAACATCACATTATTAAAAAAATAGATAGTATAAGTACTCTGACTTTAACTCACAAGAGTCAAGAAGCTTTAAAATATAAGATTTTTATTTCTTAAAAGTTGGCTTTTAAAGAAAGCCTTATATAGACTAGAAATACACTGAAAATACGAGCTAGGACAATAAAAATTTTAATAAAACTATTATCTCTCACAATATTAATATCTTTAAGGTGTTACTGTTCACTGCAAATGAATACATTGAAAACATTAAGAGAATAAAAATATTGAAAAAGTTTACAATTGGTTAAAAAAAGTCGTAAGGCAAAATAGTTCATAAATCTATTTGCAAGTTCGATCTAAAACTCTCTTGTGATTCTCTGAGAAAATAAAAACCCTCCATGTATAATAAATTAAGATAATTAATATTCAGGATGATGTTTCTGACATTTTCAGCAAGAGTACTAAAAATAAGGAATGCATATACTTTAAAGACATCCCTTCAAACTGTTTGAATTCAGAAAAAAATTTCAATTTTGAACCTTTTAAAAATGTGTTCTAACCCTGTCCTTTTTTTTTTTTTAATTTTGCACACAGCTGTCTGTTGTACTTTTTAGAATCATGCCAGATGCTGGGTTCATCAAGCAAAAGCAGGAAAACAATGGTTTGAAAGCAATTAGAAGCACCGAGGCTGCAGTGAGGCCCATATTAAAATGTGATAACACTGTTCTAGTGGGAATTTCAACACTGCTCCATTTCTGACATTTCTCTGCTGCCAGACCGGCAGGCTGTGTGGAAGGGCACTGTGATCACGGAGGTAACATACTGGAATTTATTTCTGGAGCAAATGAAGGATTAACTGAGTTGGAACTCTCCCAAGGTTTTTATTATGGACTCGGCCACCATTTTATTTGAATGCTACTGGATCCTGTTGGCATCTAACAAAGCTCAAGGAATAAAAGCATATTATAGCTTTGGTTCTACAAAATTATCTAGCAACAATCCACTTAGAAGGCAGAAGCAGAGAGCCTCTTGTTGCTAAAAGGGAGGGCAGGGGGCCCAGCAGGGTGAAGGTTAATTAAACACTCCACTAACTTCCCTCAGAAATGGGTAATGCCACTCTGTGGAGAAGCTTATATAGAATAGACAGAAGTAACCATCTCATCTATGCATTCTTTTTAGCATAAAACCATTCAAAGAGGACTCACCTTGGGGCTGAAAATCCCAACAGTATCTGAAATACAAGGAAAAAAATGGGAGATAAGTCAAACTTGTATTTCTCAATTTTGGTTGGCATACAGTAACTCTAGCACTTTGTCCAAAAAGCTTGCTAAATGGTCAATAGCTAGCCAAAGCCACTATTCACTTTCAGAAAAAATAAAGGGTTGTCCCTGAGATTTGAAAGATTCTCAAAGGCTTAAAAGCTGCATTTAGTTCACTGCAACTCCTTAGATAATTTTTACTTTAGAGCTGGAAAAGTCCTAAGAGGGAACCTAGTGGTGGCCCAGGGTTTCTCATCAGGAGCTCTGCAGGCTTTGAGAAGCACAGTTCTTTGTTGTGACAGTCTGTCCTGTGTATAACAGGACCATTAGCATCACTGGTCCTGGGCACCAAATATCAGTGGCACTCCCAGGGGTTACAACATCCAAACCCCACCACCACAAACACCATATCCTCAAATGCCTCGTAAGTCTAAATTCTTAATTTTACAGGTGACACATGAACAACTGACTCAAAATTGTCTAGCATTTTAGTGTCAGAGCGAAGAATGGAGTTCTTGCAGTCCACTATACCATTCCATCTCCTCTATTATTTTGGAAAGTGATTGGCAAAACCGACAGCCCTTGAAGTTTTAAACTCATGAAATAGCAGTGGTAGAAAGGATCATTTGTAAGTCACTTATTTGGAACCTAAACTGCATTTTCCCCCACAGAAAAAATGTTATATATGATGGTTACACACAAAAGTCTATTGCTCTTTGGATCCCATTTCCTTCTGCCTTCACAGGAACCTGACTTACTCTTTGTTGATTTTTCTCTTGTATATATTCAACCTCTTTCTCCTAACTTGGCCCTTTCCACCAGCATTTATGCTCATATAAAAATAAAGCAAACCTTCCCTCACCCCCTTCACATACCTCCATCTCCTGTCCTGTCTCCCTTACATCATAGTGAAATTTTCAGAAGCACTGTCTGTGCTTGCTCTTTTCATTTCTTCACTGCCCACTCCCTCTTCAACATACTCCAATCAACTCACAGTCACTGCACCTTAATTCTTGCTCTGGACATAACGACTTCCATGCCACTAAATAGAATGGATATTTTTCTACCCTCATCACAACCTCTTAGGAGTGTCTATGTGCATCTGAACATTTCCCCCCACCTCCAGGGAGACAGTCCACGGTTTTTAACAAATTCTTAAAAGGGTTCATAACCAAAAAAAGATTCAGAAAAAAGCAACACATACGTGATAATGGTGTGTCTTCCAGTACACACACGACTGAAATTAGCTTTGGTTTCCTTAGGCCAGAACATCAGCCCAGTGAGTATCAAGGTTATTTCTTTACTGTATAGGATAAAATTCCAGAAAATGGAAAGAGGTCAGCAGGGAGTATGTTGCCATAATCCACAGATAAATTTGAGGGAAATTATCAGAGATGAGGAAAAGAAAATTGAGAAGAAACCTGACGATTTCCTTTCCTTGCTTCTCTCCTTTCTCTGAACAGTTCTGGGCTGGCAATCAGGTAAAGGGAAATTAAGATACTTGGGTTGGAGGGCAGGGAGAGTCCAGAACAGCTATGACATCTGTAGTGGAAAAGGGGAGAGGAGGGAGAAAAGGAAGGAGTGGGAAATGGAAAGCTACAACAGCTGAGAAGGGGTGGTCGTATCAGTTTAATGGCAAATGGATGTTGGAGGCTGGCGCGGTGGCTCACGCCTGTAATCCTAGCACTCTGGGAGACCGAGGCGGGCGGATTGCTCCAGGTCAGGAGTTCAAAACCAGCCTGAGCAAGAGCGAGACCCCATCTCTACTATAAATAGAAAGAAATTAATTGGCCAACTAACACACACACACACACACACACACACACACACACACACACACACACACACACATATATATAATTAGCTGGGCATGGTGGCACATGCCTGTAGTCCCAGCTACTTGGGAGGCTGAGGCAGTAGGATTGCTTGAGCCCCGGAGATTGAGGTTGCTGTGAGCCAGGCTGACGCCACAGCACTCACTCTAGCCTGGGCAACAAAGTGAGACTCTGTCTCAAAAAAAAAATATATATATAGACATTGGAACTGGCTGAAACGTAAATAAGTTATGTATAATGATAAGATGGGTCGATCTCCACCTAGCAGACAGTGTAGCTTTCCACTGTACCTGGCCACCATGAAGAGTTTGCCATAAAACTCATTTCTATTAAACATAGCTAATCAAGCAAATCATCAAACTGGTAAGCAATTTTCCATCTTCTCTTGCTATTTTCCATCTTTCTTGAGGCCTTAGCCCCCAGTTCCTATCATTATCCAACTCCCAATTAAATAGAAACAGATATTAAGGTGTGGCTATGTGCATACATGTATGTACACACACACCCTCACACACACACACTCTCCTGTTTCCACAATGTTAATGATAGCAACAGCAGAAACTTTGCTGACCAATGTCATTCTCATTTATTGGCCCAGAAAAAAAACCTAGCCATGCAGTGGCAGTTAAAAGGCCAACTCTAGGGGCAAATTGTTAAATAAGAAAAATATGCTATTGATGATCTCAGCCTCCCTTGCCCATGATCCCCACGCCAACTAACAACACATATTTTCAGTTCCTTTCTCTACTTTAAAGTATCCTGGTTTCCCTCTTCTCTTGTTGGTCAAGAAGAAAGATGAGCTTATACGTTCATACGTATTAAAGATATTGCTTCTGCCAATAGCAGCTATATCTTAAGAAGGCTGATTATAGAGAAAGAACTCAATTTAATAGTATCAAATAAAGTAGCAGGTCTACCTAGTTGATGCTAAATAGCAGAATCTGCATTATTATTGATAATGCTATAATTAAATATTCCTGTCAAACTTTCAGTTATGAGTAAGTTCTGAGGATCTAATGTACAACATGGTGACTATAGTTAATAATACTGTATTATATACTTGAAAGTTGCTAAGAGAATAGATCTTAAACATTCACAATATATCATATATCAAATCATCATATTGCACATTTTATTTTTTTGAAATATAGATTTTTATTTATATAGATTTACGGAGTACATGTGTAATTTTATTACATGCATTGGTTGCTTAGTGGTCAGGTCAGGGCTTTTAAGGTATCTATCACCTGAATGATATACATTGTACCCATTAACTAATTTGTTATCATCCTCCTTGCTCCCACCCACTCCCACTTCTGAGTCCCCAATGTCTACCATTCCACTCACAGAACCCACTTAGGAGAGAGAACATGTGATACATTTTAAAAATATTCAATTATACCTGTCAATTATAAAAAAATTTCTGTCAATAAAAATCATATATAGGCCGGGCATGGTGGCTCACGCCTGTAATACTAGCACTCTGGAAGGCCAAGACGGGAGGATTGCTCAAGGTCAGGAGTTCGAAACCAGCGTGAGCAAGAGCAAGACCCCCGTCTCTAATAAAAAAAAATAAAAAGAAATTAATTGGCCAACTAAAAATATATAGAAAAAAATAGTCGGGCATGGTGGTGTGTGCCTGTAGTCCCAGCTACTCAGGAGGCTGAGGCAGAAGGATCACTTGAGCCCAGGAGTTTGAGGCTGCTGTGAGCTAGGCTGATGCCATGGCACTCCAGCCTGGGCAACAAAGTGAGACTCTGTCTCAAAAAAAGAAAAAATCATATATAGAGGGCTGGGCATGGTGGCTCATGCCTGTAATCCTAGTACTTTGGGAGGCCAAGGTGAGAGTATCACTCGAGCCCAGGAATTTGAGACAAGCCTGGGCAACATAGCAAGACCCTGTCTCTAAAAAAAAAAAACAAATTACCCCAGCATGGTGGTATTCATCTGTAGTCATAGTTACTCAGGAGGCTGAGGCTAGAGGATTGCTTGAGCCCAGGAGTTCAAGGTTGCAGTGAATTATGATGATGCCACTGCACTCTAGTCCAGGCAAGAGAGTGAGACACTGTCTCTAAAAAAATAATAATAATTTAAAAATAAAATAAAATAATCATATGTAGAATTTGACTTGGTGTGACATGAAGTGAAATATTAGTCCTCTCTTTTTCAGAAGGTATAAATCTATCTTGTTCCCCTATCTTTTCTCCCTCTCTTCTTACTCTATTACTTACACAGCAACCCTAAAGAAAGTTTGTTTAAAAAACAACAATGACAGTAACAAAAACTCATATCTCTATTCACCAGTCCACAGAAGACACTGCTAAAAGTAAAATCCAAAAGGTGAGCAATCTCACCCCTCCCTGGAGGGCACCATGGAGTAGTCTCTGCTTGACACCTTTCAGATCTCCATCTTGTCTCATTAAAGATATCCAATGAATGGCCTTCATCATGTTCTCTATAAAGATGATTCTACAATAGAGAATTCTATACTCTTCAGGAAGCATTTAGTCAAATCCTTCCAACATCTTCCAATTCTTACCTTTGCCCTGAAAACAATTCTTCTTTAGCCAGATGGTCTAATAAGTCTGAAACTAGAAATTTTAAACCAAAGCACAAGGACCACAATAGAAGTATACAGAAGGAAAAGCATATAAATGCACACATACAGAGTTGTGTTTATCTTAAAAGCCTCTGAGAATTTCATATCAGGCCTGTGCAGATAGATAACAAACACTTCTTTAATCTTCTCTTTGAAGCTTCTGCTTCAATGGCAAAGGGAAGTTATCACTCCTCTGCAATACCCATACTCAACATCATCAGGCCCATGCAAATGATATTTGGATCTGAAAAATGATGAGTACGGAATGAGCAGGGAGAAAATGCTGCAACCACATTGATGAAGATTGTTTTCACATTCTGTCAAAATAAACCCATCTTTACTTGTGCCTCCAAAAATGAAAATGGAAGAATAAAATTTCATAGCCCTTCATCTACGCTGTGGAACAGAGTCTTGAAATTTTAGGATTCAACTGCATGTAAGACAAAGTTTGCAATTCATGTTTTTCAACTAACGATGTTTTAATTGAACTTCAGTTTGGGGAAAGGTGTAAGTAAATTGAATCTGTAGTATTGAGGGA